TTGACCACTCTACACACGTTGACCACTCTACACACCTTGACCACTCTACACACGTTGACCACTCTACACACGTTGACCACTCTACACACCTTGACCACTCTACACACGTTGACCACTCTACACACGTTGACCACTCTACACACCTTGACCACTCTACACACGTTGACCACTCTACACACGTTGACCACTCTACACACCTTGACCACTCTACACACGTTGACCACTCTACACACGTTGACCACTCTACACACCTTGACCACTCTACACACGTTGACCACTCTACACACGTTGACCACTCTACACACCTTGACCACTCTACACACGTTGACCACTCTACACACGTTGACCACTCTACACACCTTGACCACTCTACACACGTTGACCACTCTACACACGTTGACCACTCTACACACCTTGACCACTCTACACACGTTGACCACTCTACACACGTTGACCACTCTACACACCTTGACCACTCTACACACGTTGACCACTCTACACACGTTGACCACTCTACACACCTTGACCACTCTACACACGTTGACCACTCTACACACGTTGACCACTCTACACACGTTGACCACTCTACACACGTTGACCACTCTACACACGTTGACCACTCTACACACGTTGACCACTCTACACACGTTGACCACTCTACACACGTTGACCACTCTACACACGTTGACCACTCTACACACGTTGACCACTCTACACACGTTGACCACTCTACACACGTTGACCACTCTACACACGTTGACCACTCTACACACGTTGACCACTCTACACACGTTGACCACTCTACACACGTTGACCACTCTACACACGTTGACCACTCTACACACGTTGACCACTGAATGACTTGCATGATGTTTGTGCATAATATTTGTCCTAACTGATCAAATAAGAAAGAAAATCTTCCAAGAATTGATGATATTTGAACTCAAAGTACCAACACTAACTGCAGGAGATAAACATGGAATAAATCTTACAGTACTTGAGAATTATTTTTAATCATAGGGACCTTAAGCAGTCAAGATGGCAACGCAAAGGAAGACTTCCATTGAAAAATGAATTTCTACTCTTAGTCACAGCTCAACTTCAGCATGACGTATAGAAGTAGCGTTGAATTCCAAATGGAAATTAAATTAATTTGCCAACACGGTTTTGGTTTGCAGACGACACAAATTTTGGCGATTTCACATTGTTGTTTTGCATAGGACAGCTAAGAAATGTACAAAGTTTCAAAACGCATGTGCTGAGCTATTGTTCTGCCAATTAGATCTCGTTTTTCCACGTCCTCATTGCCGTTGCTGTCGTGGTTGCTTAAGGTCCCTCATATTTGAGCTGTTCTGCTTTAAGTGAATGCTTAATATTGGTGGAGACAATACAAACAGGCTGTTACAACTCAGTCAAGTTTGACCATGACCACTTCATAGAAGAGGAAATTACAGTACTTCACAGGAAAAAATTTTAAGCCTTTGAACACAGACTGTTTAATCTAGGGTGACCGCTTCATACTAAACTGTTTAATACAGGTTTTAATATATCACAGGAAGTTCAACTGCAAACCTTTAAAGTTTTTAAGTTAAAAAAAAGGTTAATATTTGTGTACACTGCACTCACCTGCAAGTCTCCAAGCTGAAAGCTGGAAATGAAAAGGAAAGAAAAATAAGTGTATAATAGTCATCTAAAGATCTGGTTTCTTTGTCAGCCATCAACTGTTCAGTGTAATAAAATTGTTAGGATATGTAAAAGGATACAGAGTGCAAAGATATAAATGGCAAATATTGTGAGACTGAGTATATTCCTATACTGAATTCAATTCAATTAGCAATAAGCTTCGATGATTTAGGTAATAGTTATCGCAATCTAAATTACAGACCCTCCTTAGCCTAGCTATTGCTATTTGCAGGTCAGCCAATGCAAGTTGATAAACCAAGTTAACAAATGGTAAACACCACAGCGTACACTATTGAGTTATGGATGCATGCGGGAAGTTGCTAAGCACGAAAGAAGCATAAGAGTTGCTCGAGGCGATAGCCGAGAGCGACTCTAGCTTCTTGAGTGCTTAGCAAACCTCCCAAGTGCATCCATAACTCACTGTGGTGTCTACCATTTGTTTTATAACATAACATTGATACATTGTAGCTAAAGAGTTCCCTTTTATTTTTGACAAATCTTACGTGACCAGAAAAAACAAGCGCGCTCGGAAAAATAGTCTTTGCCGAAGTGTGAATAGGGTTTTATGAAAACAAAAATTAATGTAAAAGCTCCCCAGCACTCTTCTTGCATTGCAAACTTGATTCAAGTAGAAATACTTACGATGATAACTTCCAGACATTCCTGAACTTGTTAGACTGCTTTGTAGTTCCTTTGCATCTATCTGCCCATCCTTAAGAAAGACAGGATAAAGTAAAATCAACATAAAAACAAGAGATTTTGAGTGAGAGTACAAGAATTTTCTAACTATTCTTAGTTAAATTTCTTTAACCCTTTACACCCAAAACATTTGTATGCATATTCTCCATTACTTTTCTCTATACATTTTCTATGATGCTGACAAGGAGAATTTGGTTAACGATCAAGAGCTTCTTTAGTTAGTGATCATTTCCTTTATTCTCCTGACTTTAATGTTTGATTCAAGGGTGATATTGTAAAGAGAAATTATATTTTAGTCACTCTCATAGGTTTAAGGGTGATGAAAGAAGGGTTGTGCTCTGTCAAAGACCATGTGCCACAGGTGAGGAATGCTGCTAAGTTACTCTCTTCATATCACTTTCATCTCTGGATGAGGTAAAGATATATCAGAAAGAAGCTACATGTCCTTGATCTCCAAGAGTCAAATGCTTAACTTTTGATTTAATTGTCATTTTGGTTACTTACTTGCCCAGCCACAGCTGAAAAATATTGAAACAAAGGATCTTGCTGCTGCATTGGAGCTGGAAAACCACCTGGAAAGCCTGGGTAACCCTGCAAAAAGAAAAGAAAAGAGTTCAATATTTCCAATGATGGGCGCCTTCTATTCCCCCTATTCACAATTAGCAACATAAAAAAATATGATCATGTTTCCACTATCCTTAAAATTCAGAGGTGGCCACCAGCAAGGTGGTATTTACATCACTGACATGCTCTAATGGCTGTTCAATGTACATGTATGACTGGGAGTGTGCCAGAGTCCCCTTTCTCTTAATACATTCAAAGAGCGGACTACACTAATCAAAAGAATAGGGAATGCTCTGATTCTTTAGATCCCACAAAACTCCCACAGGAAAAACAACATTTTATTTTTAGAACTGTCAAACTTTGGAATTCCTTGAACCTGTCACTCAAGCCAAATTGGGCTTTGAAACACTTCAAACACTGCATAAAAAAACAATTTATTTCATCCTTTTTGGAGAGCATTTCATTTCTTAGAAAATTAGTTAATTTTAAAATGCACCTTCATTCTGAAAAGCCCTTTGTGGGAAGAATCAAGTATATCTGTTCATATTTGTACCTTCTGCCTGTCAGAGTGGTTGGTAAGCTACCCTTACAACTTTTCATAATTGTAGATAAATATTTTTTGGGAAAATCTAGACAAGACACTTCTGGAAATTGTGGGGTTCTTTAAAAACATTTGAATGATTCCTTGAATTTAGTGACAGTCTATAGCTCCACTGACATTACACCTAGAGTACAGTTTCCTACACCTTGTGTATTGCCTGTATTTTGTGCTATTTTTTGCCAAGTTCAGTTTTTAGCTAAGGATTTTGAGGCTATCCTATAAGAAGCAATAATTTCAAATCCTGGCCAGATAGATCCTTGTATGTGAATTGATGTGGTTGTTGTTATTTTTGCCAAGCATAACTGGCCCCTACAACATTTCTACCGTTTTTGGCTGAGTTTCATTGTCTTGAGATATTATGTACTGCAATTTTTGTGACATTTATTAAAATATTTAACCCCCTATTGTAAAAACATTACACTTTGCACCCATGTTGTCACGAAAGTTGAACACTTCTTTCTTACCTTTTCGTGTCTAACAACTATGAATGTAAAAAAATAAGACAGCTTGTGAAAATGAGGTGTATTCCATCATCACAAGGATATGGTGTAAAATCTGTCTGTTACATTTTCTGACTACAAGCATGATGCATACACTGTCCTGTGATTGCCTACAATTAGGGCTCTGATAACAAATTACAATCGATAATTGAGGTATAAACAAATACCGATACACAGTTTCAAGATATGTAATGTATAATGTTTAAGGCACACTTTCCGTGTAGCCTGCGTGTAGAGGTCCATGTGTTACAAAACTCTTTACTGGGTTAATGATGTATTTACCCTCTTGAAATAAAGAACATTGTATTGTATTGTAGCCACAAGCTAAATTATTATGCACACATTTCTTGATAGAGAAAACAATGATAAAAACAGTACATTGCCTTTGAGGCCAAGGCCTTGTTTCTAAACGGTTTGGGGTTCTACAGAAACCGTTCCAAGATCCGATGGGATTAAACCTGCACATTCCCAATAAAGTTCAATTGAAGTTTCGATTCGTCATACAGTTCCTCAGCACGTAAGTTCACGTTTGTGGCAACCTCATGCAAGTGAGCCACGGGTCGCTTGTAAATAAACTTTTAATAGCCCTGTTTTAAAACTAAGGTTTCTTGATCAGTGATTTCAAACACCAAAAATGCTCCAACGATATAGCCTAATTTCCAGTACGATTGAAGATGGCGTTTGTAAATGACATTTTCTCACTGTTCGCTATCACTGAAAATTTGTAGAGCTGCAAAGGGACAGTTAACTCCCTCCTCACTTACCCCGCCATATCCACCTGGTGGTGGAGCACCATAGCCTGGTTAAGCCATACCTTTGATTAAAATGAATATCTTGCTCTTTCGGGAAATCTTCGATCCAAACACTGCGAACAGGCACAGCTAAGCAGCCTGGCCTCTCGAGCCCATCCCACAAGGCAAATTTTCCGTGTGGACTGCGTTACTCCTGTCACGCAAAATTACAAGGAAAGGAAAGCATGTTAGAGTAGCCAACCTTTTTCAGCCTCTTTTGCCTTCTCTAAAGAAATCTTTGGAAAAAATCCAAAGCCAAAACATCTAGGAACAGCCTCAGATTTGCCTAAAACAGTCTGGAGCGTTACCATGATGATGTTGACGAGGCCCTTAGGATAACGTGATAAACTCGTGAATCCGCTGATTAAAAGCCGAACTGATCGCCTCTGCAGTGCTACGCAGAGGGACGCAGAGGTTCAAACAGAGTGAGTTAGTGCAGAGCGTAGAACTTCCAAAGGTAGGATTTCATTCTCCAGACACTTCAAGTTAGATCGATCATAATTTCGATAATAATCTCCTAAACTGCAGGTTTTAAGAAACAAAAAATGTGTCCGCCACGTACACGCTTAAGATCTCCATGTGCAATTCTCGTATGGCTGTTGCAGTTTCGCAAAGGTTGCACAATTGTTCACCTGGTATCTTCGAAAAAAATATTTATTATGAGCCAGTAATTGTGTAATGAAAAGTAAGAAATCGAAGCATTATTTCAGATGTCTTAGTTCTGTAAGGTGGCAAGGAAAAAAGAAGCCGTAGTCCCAAAGGTGATTGTTGTTTTGCCTTTGTTTTCTTTTATCCAAGAATTGTATCCATAATGAAGTATGGGTTTAAGCAGAAATCTTGCCGACCAAAGTATCTGGTACACCGCCGAATGTGATACGTTTCAGGACGGTGTTCCCCAATCAAGTCGATACTTGTTAACTGTAAGTTAACTTTATCCGATGGTCAATACGTTAAAAATCCACCTTACGTTATCTTATAAGACGTTTTGGTGTGTGGTATCGGTGTGTATTTTTCCGAGATGTGGCGTATTTTGACGAGTCCGCAGGATAAACTCGAGTAAAAGTACTCTGCGTCTAATAGGATATGTATGCGGAAATTTTTTCCAATAGGATATCAGGAATTGTGAATTATTTCCTTCTGAAGAAGAATAAATGAAATCTTACTTTCGCAAATCGTTTGCAAGTTTTGCAATAGTAGATAGCGTTACAGAAGGGACGTGTACTTATTAGTAACGCAATACACTATAGCAGTAATCAGCTATCAGAAGCTGCCCGAAAGTTATTTAAAAGGTAGCATCTGCTGTATATAGTACAGCAATCATCAACCTATTTATGTACGTTTGTATAGAATTGAAAAGTTGCTGAATAGTGAGATTCTTGGTGTCTACCAATGGCAGTTTTAGGGAATTGTGCAATAGTTCCAGTCAGTTGATTGATAATGCCCAGCTTGAGCTGATCAGTTCAGAATTTTTCTTCAGTGATTGTTGTATTAGACATTTCGAATTTGTTTGCTTCTGATCCAAACTAAGAGGCTTTTCTGTTGTTGCAAGATGAGATAAGAAAGTAAAGGAAAGTTATCACGAATCATGAATTTATTTTTTTCTCGGCAGTAGTTGTCTTTTTGTATGAATCACTGGAGAAAAAATTGATGAAGACCTTTGACCACTGTCCCTAACACATGTGGGTTTACATCTGTTTTTTAAGCAAGATTTTTCCTTACTGATCAGTGTATAGAAGATATAGATAAATCTGGAGACCACACATTGCAACTGCCAGATTGTTGCAACATTATATTGTTGCACAAGACTTAATGTTGCAACAAAAACATGATACACCAGTCATTCAAACTCCTGTTTCATGTTCTCAAGAACTGTTGAAATATAGTTTAATGCCTTCAGATTGGTCTATGAGTTGGAGAATTTGTCTGAAGTGCTGTCCTAATACACTGCACGAACAACTGCTAAGTGCTTTGATTAAAGATGCATGCTTTGTCTCAAAAATTATGATATCACACTTTGTAGTTCCCTGTAACCTTTTGCATTAGTATACATATTCTTCATACTATTCTCTATACATTTCCTAAGGAGTTGACAAGGAGAATTTGTTTAACAATCAAGAGCTTCTTTAAAGTTGGTAATCATTTCCTTTATTCTCGTGACCTTAATAATGATAATAACCTTTATTTTAAGAGGATGACACCAATTACTTTGAAAAGTATTCTCCCTAGTGGCCCTCTGAAACACCTACCCATCCTAGCCCAGGGGAGGACATCCATCACACAGTAATCTCGTGTGTGGGAAATTAACGTCTCCTACCCCTAACCCTGCAGGAGACGGGACCTCCATTTATTCGTGCCTATCCGAGAAGACTAGAATATCTAACCATTTCTTGATGTTATAGAAAGGTAGCAAATCTTCTCAATTATTTTAAGACCCTGAGTGTTGGTCCGGCCGGTGCTCGAACCCTCGACCTCCTGCACAACTGTCCAGTGCTCTATCCATTGAGCTAACCGGGAGGCGGTTGTGTGATTCAGTGATAATATTGTAAAGAAAAGGTAGATGCTAGTCCTTCTTAGGTGTGCAAAGGTTATTTGGGGAATTGTGTTCTTACACTGGTGAGGAAATCCAAATTTTTATGTTATGGTGCATTTTAGATTCTGTATAATATGCCGTCTCATAGTGGCGAAGTATGTTGTTAAGTTCTTGCTTTTGCTCTGAGGGTTTTTAATTTCTCTGTACTTTGGGTTAATGCACAAATGGAGGAAAAGAAGAGCCACTCTATGGAAGCCTACTGCTTTTTTATCACAGTTAATTATTCATCACATTCATCTCAGTTAATTATTCATTGTTATTTGTTATAAAAAAGTGACCTGTTTGCTTTAAGTTGCTTTAAAATATCTTTGTTTGCCTCAGTTTCCCAGAATGGATCAGAAAAAATAAAAAGAGAGATGGAAAGAACAATGATATCTTTTATTTGAGATTTTTACATATTGTAATTGTAAGATAATTTAGCCCCACATGAACAAAGTAGTTATCAAATTCTAATTTTAAATCTGGTGGATCTTCTCCTTTAAATACATGTGATACGCTCGTCTTTGACCAGCCGTATTTCTGCTCATGATGATGTCATTCAAGACAATTTTCATGTGCCACCTGCTTTTTTTTCTTCTGAGATTAACTTAACCCTCCCATGAGTGACCAAGAAATAATTTCTCCTCACAAAATCAATACAGTATCAAGCAGACAAGTGTTGAGAATAAGGAAATATCAATGACGGAGTTATAGTTTGATCCAATACGAAATTTTCAGAACTGACATCCTAAGAATTGTAAGGCGGACAGTTAGAAGAATTACTTACGAGATCTTGTAGTAATGGTAAAAAGCATCTTAGGGGTAGGAGACGTTAATTTCCCATGCACGAGATTACTGTGTGATGGATGTCCTCCCCTGGGGTGGGATGGGTGGGATTTATGGGGTGGACTTCTCGCATGGTTCGCATATGTTCCGTTCTAGTCCTACCCTACTGCGGTAATGCAGTGAAAATGGTTAGAGAGAACAAATATTGCGCAAATTAACATTTGGATGATCAAATGCACATCACAACACTTTTCAGGAGACTTTGGCCAAACTGCATCAGCAGTTTACAATTAATCGAAGGAAACTTATCTGAAGTTTCTTGTTTTTACTTTGAGTTCTTATAGGCTCCCGATGATATTTCCCTTTGTTCCTATTGGCTGTTGTAATAATTTTGTTTTTCGTCATACGACACGTAATCAAGAAGAACCTCTAGCCCGATAAATACTTCATATCAGCGAAGAGTACTTGTTCCTCACGCTTTTTTCTCCCGGTTTTCTTTTTTTTTCTTTTGTAGTAGAGTTCAATCATGGCCAAGGCAGAAGAAGATCGTTTCTACTCAGAGAGGCTCCTTACTTTGAATCCCAGATCTACGGATGAATACGTTAAAGGCATTTATGATGAATGGGCAGACACATATGACAAGGTACTTAAGTTTTTGTTTTGCTTACACAATGTGCTACTTCCACAGCGGTCAAAAGTCTGCGCCCAAGCGAATGTTGTAATGACTAGCTGACATAATTTCAGGCTGTCAAAACCAAGTTTTCTCACGCGAATTACAAACAGTCACATAAGCCGGTAAGTCGTGGTATTTTAGAAGCGTATAAATTTTGTGATAAAGCTCAAAACAGATTAATCGACAGTTAATCAAAAGGATACTCGTACATGGATAAGTTTTATGTTTGAAAAGTTTCCAGTTTTCCTTTTTCCTACTTTTGTTTCCTTTTACATATTTCGATGAACGTTTCAATTTTCTCTCGCACATTTTGGGAGACAGCAGTTATATGTTATGCTTTCCTTTGAAATTTTGCGCGGGAAATTGATGTACAGCTGGCCGGAATTGATCCGCAGTGTTTGTGTAACTCCATATAATCGGCAGCTTTGACCCGCGGGCTCAAAACGGTCGCATCTCGTCTCTGCGTTGATTACAGTCTAGTAATCGATTTTTCGTTTGTTTAGTCTACAGCAGAAGCAGGATATATCGCCTACAAGACTTGCCCTCCAATCTTCGACCAATTCGTGCGTGAAAATTTTAGCAGTAACCCATCCAAGTTGCGAATACTCGATGCTGGTGCTGGTACTGGAATTGTGGGTAAGGTCCTTCAGAATCTTGGATACACGAATGTCGACGCCCTGGACATCTCGCAGAAGATGCTAGACGAAGCGAAGAAGTTAAACGTGTATAAAGAGTTTATCTGTGCTCCGCTGAGCGCCGAACCGATAGCGGAGATAGCAACAAACCAATACGATGGGTTAATCTGTATTGGCACCCTTACAATCGGTCACGTGAAACCAGTTGCTCTGGACGAGATTCTGCGTATTGTCAAACCAGGTGATGAAAAGTTGATGTCCTCTAATAATTAACAATTATTCACCAAAGTGGAGGTGGCTAGTGGTAGATATTTACAGAACTGCGAAGTGCAGAGGTAAATATCCGCTGCTAGCCACCGACATTGAGGTGATTGGTTGTTTTAGAATATATTAAAACCGTGAGGTAATACAGCAAGAAAATATTAATTCAAAGCATTCATTCCTGCAACGATTTCAATATGTTCGGGCGCAATTAATGCGCGAGTTTTTCGGAGGTGAATAGTGAAGGATATTCAGAGTTTAAGTAGCTAATCAGAGCGCGCCTTTCATCATATTTTCACCCAAGAGATTATTGAGTACAACTGAGTGCCGTTTAGCTAAAGGCAGTCACGTCTTTGTGCTATTTCATGGAAGAGAAAGAGTTAAAGGATTATCATTAATGCAACCTGAAGAGGAATTGTATGCTTTAGAGACCACATAATTTTTATCGTCGCTCGAAAAAGTATTTTTATAAAATTTATTACTTATTGCGTTTTGAAATTCTGTTGGATCCTAAAATGCGCGTTTTACAACCAGGTGCTGCTCTGGTTATCACAAAGAAAATAGCAGAAAACACAAATCAATATTTGCGGGAAGGATGTCTTTTTGTGTCGGCACTTTGTGTTGAAACAGATTGCCAAGAGAGTGAGGAAAGAAGATTGAGACTCAGCTACGATTAGTGGTCATCGAACGTAAAAGAACTGGATTAAGAAATGTGAGAAAAAAAAGGGCTCAAAAACGTTTCCAGATAATTCGCTTACCCTAAAATTTTCACTTCGAGGTCAGTGTCACTTGGTGGCCGTATGTTCAGTTATAGGGAAGAAATTTACATTCGGGAAGAAGATTTAGTCAGGAAAGCTCACAATGGTGGAGAGGTTATCAGAGACGCCGAAAGAAACGAACAATCTTTTGAATTTTTACCAAGGATTGTTGGTAATCACGCAAACTCAGTTAAATCAGATAACAATCATAGCATGTGGGAACAGGTTATGGCACAGTAGTGCTCGCCTCCCACCTCTGTGGCCCGCGTTCGATTTCTGAACCTTGCATGATATATGAGTTGAGTTTGTTTAATGGTTCTCATCCTTGCTCAGGGATTTTCTCCGGTCCTCCGGTTTTCCTCTAGCCTGCTTGTAGGCGCTAGTTTGTTTCTTCAGGCGCGAGATTCAGCGCGGCGAGTATTGGGTCGTCATATGGACGGTTGAAAAATTTTGAAGGAAGGACAAAGCTAGGGGGAGGGGGCGAGGGGAGGTTCAAGGATAGCGAGATCTTGGGCATCAAGGTGTTACATTGACTTTGGGGTGATGGTTGTTTTGTAGTATTCGCGACCATATAAAGGACAATTTGGTTTTATCAATAATGTTGATAATACAAATTTGCCACCGTGAAGAGTTTCTGAATCGGACGTTTCGAGCGTTAATCTTTCGTCGCATTCGCTCTCATTTGACGAACAGCTAACGCACGAAACATCAGCTTAGGATACTCGTTACGGTGGCCAGTTTACTATATCAACTCAATTGATAAGACCAACTTGTCTTGTTATACTCCCCACCGACCCAGCACCACAGTTTCTTCAGAAAATCACCCACTTTAACCATATGAAAGGCCCGCTTTGGGTCCTCCAAGGGGTCCGTCTTTCTTCCAGTTAAAGTCAAAGGATGGATCTTGCATTAAGGAATTTTATTCTTTGTGGTTTCAGGTGGTATCATTGGGTTTACTCTTCGTAGAGACGCCTACGAAGAATCTGGCCCCGAAAAGTGTGGCTACCGTGAAAAAATGAGTGAGATGGAGACAAGCAAGAAATGGAAACTCCTAAGATGCGAGTTCATTGATTATCATCTGAACGTGGATGAACTGCGAGCCAAATGTTACTCCTTAATGTATCAAGTTTTATGAGTAAAGGAACGATAAATAGATACGGATTATTCTCTATCTCTAACGGTGAAGTTAAAAACCACTATTTTCCATGATTCAGGGGCATGAAGCAGTCAGGACGAAAATTGCGAGGAAGACGTTGATTGTACCTTTAAATGAATCCCTTATTTTAATTAGTTTTGTCTCGTCTTCGTTGCCGTCTCTGTCGTGGTTTGTTTAAGGTCCCTTGTATGAATACCACTGGGAAAGAAATGATTCAGCACATAAATAAAAAATTCTTCTGGGAGCGAA